AATAGGAAAAAATATAGCTCACCAAAAAGTTGAACGGAACCATCCCTCACATATTTCATATGATCGTACTGGTATAAGTGTCAAAATTATGAATCAGGTTTCAAGATTAGGCGGGCTATTTATTTTTATATACAAATATAGTTATGATTTTAAGTACTGATGTGTAATGAACATTTTAAAACGTACTATGTAGCAAATAATAACCTAACTCTAACCCCAAGTAATTCACCCTCACATTGCCACTATTTCTAATCTTCGTCTAATACTTATACCAAACCTACATCCAAGCTAAATTAACCTTCGTGTAATTTTACTCTAACGTCTAAACCTAGCTAATTACCCTTTAATTCTATTCTAACGTACTATTAACCCTGCCTAATTAACAAAAACCAACGTTTATATCATACTGAAGTTGATACCCGTCTAAAATTGCAGCTTCAGTTAACTGAAGTTGTAATTGACTGAAATTAGCTCCTAAAATTAAAATCATCTTGCATGCATTAGTTATCAATTTTAGGCAGGTGTAACTTCAGTTAACTGGAGCTGCAATCTTAATCAGATTTCAACTTTAGTCTCAATATTTAAAACTCACGACCAACCATCATCCAAGTTACACCATTAATTACTAAAGAATCAATACAATGAAGACGTTAACAAGCAAAAATCACAGCGAATGACTGCTCAAAAAATGACAGATTAAACAACTACGGCACTATAGAATGACACTCCAAAAAAATGACAACTCCAACCAAATGACAATTCCAACCAAACGATGGCTTCAACCGAACGATGACTCTAATAAAACAACGGCTCCAGTGAATGACAATTCCAGCAAAATGGTGACACATAGAAGACAACGCTACAAAAAAAGAGTAAAATGTTGGTTAGTAATGTAACAAAAAAGTAAATAACCAAAAAAAAACTTATCTGTATATAGTGTTGATCTGTGTAATCGCAAACCACTACAATTAATAAAACCTTTTAATAAGAATGAATGTGTCAATGTTTTGACTAAAGTTGGGATCTGACTAAAGTTGAAACTTCAGTTGATTGAAGTTGCACTTGACTGAAATTAGTCCCTGAAATTAGATCATCCTGCACGCATTAGTTAGCTGTTTTAGGCAGGTGCCAACTTCAGGCAACTGAAGTTTCAACTTTAGTCGGATCCCAACTTCAATCACGGCATCGACATTTATGATATCAGAGAAAACGATTCCAAAATATGACAATACCAACAAAACAACTCCAAAGAACAATGATACTAGTGTAACCGATAGCTCTAAAAACAACAATATCAGAAAAAACACGACTCCAAAGCACGACAATATCAACAAACGATGGCCTCACAAAACAACAACACCAGTGAAACTACGGCTTCAAACTGCGACGACTCCAATGAAATAACAACTCCAATGAAACGGTGACTCCAAATAGTGACGATACCAGAAAAACAGTGGCTCTGAAAAACAACAGTGCCAAAGAAAAGACAGCTCTAAAAAAAGTGACCTGATTAGTAAAAAAAAAAATAAAAAAAAACAAAAAAATATAATAAATAAAATCTATACTTATTTTGTAGATCTATGTAACCACTCCTGATTACTTGTGATCAATGCCATATCCCGCACATAGTGCACCCTGCACAAAAAATAATAATCTATTTTAATTAATGTTTTGAGTTTTTAAAACTTTAAGCAAAAACATCTCAACAACTGTTTACTTTTTATTTAAATTTTTTGAACTCATAGAAAAGTTTAAATTAGAAGATAATTGATAAGATATATTTGCTTCAAGTTTTATTTTGTTATAGTAATGAATAATAAACATAAAAAGTATATATATATGTTGTGCATCAAATTATTCTTGTCTTAAGTGTTAATTTATCTAAATTAGGTTTAGAGTTTGGATAAAAATTAGATTGTAATTTATGTTAATTAGTTAATGCTGGCCAAATGATTAACATCTGTAGTGTCTTAGTTATTACATAAGTTAAAAATCAAAACACAATATATGAGTAATGAAAAGAGAAACCTGTAAATCATTTTACTCATTATTATCACAGTAATTTCTGTCTATGAGAAACTGGACTAATGTAATTGTTTTGAAAATTTCAGTATTACCACAAATAGTACATATTACAAAATTACAGTATTATTAATAATTTATGCATTCTTACTTGCACTTATATTATAGTATGTATGTATATAATGGATAATATAAATTGAGTTCTCAAGTACTTTTGAAGATATAGATACATTGAAAAACTTCTATGACAAATATGAATAAAATCAAGATTTTTTGAGCAGAAACTTGAGTCACATCTTTAAACCAGTTGACAAATTTTTGACCATGTCTACTTTCTTAATATCACTTCAATACTGTTATTTGCACAATCAATAGACATTAATATCTCTATTTGAAAAGACATGTTGATTAGATATATCTTCTCAAAGTAGTTTCTGTTGTATATATCAAGGTGACTATAATAGTCTGTTTGGCGAATTACATAGTCGTAACTTTGGGATTAATTGCAAGTTAAGTTAAAATTGTTCTTAAGCTGCTTAATATGCTGTCATGTAACTCTGAAGTTAAATGTTGATATGATTGTATAATATATATATTATAAAAGTTTATTTTATATAGAGCCTTTTTATATCCTTGTCAATATTTAGCTTTTTCTATAAGTTTTCACATAAACTAAATACAAAATTTAATCTTTTTTATATATATCTTTCATATATAGGATGAAGTCAAAGTTACATATAATTTTTGTTATATAAAAAATATTGGCAAAACTTTCATAGAGTTGGCACATAAAGTTTAGTACTATAATACTGGTGTGCTATTGCACTATTTAATATAAAAGTTGCGTATATACATGTATATGTACAATTTTATTGAATCTATTATGCCGAAATTACAAATTTAACTAAATCAGCTGAAATATCATTCTGCTAATTTTTACCAGGTGTTTCAGGAATTATGATAATAGTTGTAAAATATATATGTATATATATATTTGCTAACTAAATAAAAAAATTTTTTAATCATAGATCACTTATTGGCTTTGATGTCCAAGATACTTAAGATAAGATTAAGGGCCAGAATATTATTGTAGAAATCAATGAGTAAAAGTTCGATAAGCGAAAATATAATCGTGGCCATTGTGTTGAGGGAGTTTAGATTTTTGGTGGTGTAGAAAGAACTTCAGAAAGAAAAATATTTGCAAAAGCTGTTTATGACAGATCCGCTGAAACTTTACTTACTTTATTGAGGAAATATAAACTCTGGGTCTATTATTTATTTAGACCTGTAGTGTGCCTATATAAGAATAAGCCCTGATTTAGAGTTTCAGCATCAAACAGTAAACCATAGTTCAAATTTTGTTGATCTCAGTACAGGCACCCATACAAACACGATTGAAGAAACCTGAAATGATATTAAAATCCAGATTAGTAATTAGTTTATTTAAATTTTTTAAATCAACTATGTAATCATTAAATATCTGAAGTTGCCACTTTAGATATCTAAAAGTAGGTAGCTAGTACAAATATGTATAAACATACAAGATATTTAGTAAAGTAGTGCTGTACAGCAGTACAAATTCAGGCAAGCATACGAAAATTGTACTAAATTTTGATCATATATATATAGACTTGCAAGTTTTAATTTTATAAATAACCCTTTTTGATTAGGGTAAGCACTAGTATTGTCCATTTTTTTTATGTTAAGATTTATAGGAAAAGTAATTTGGGTTTTACAAATTTTTTCTTTTACAAACTATATATACTATCATTAATTTCTACACATCCGTCCTAATTTACGTTTTCATAAAATACTACTTTACTATATACTTATGTTACTTTTAATAGTTACCCCATGAAAAAAAGACAATACTAGGTTCACCTTAACCCTAACCATTAAAAATAGTTACTTATAAAAATTGAATTTTACAAGTCTATATTAGCCATACATACATACTATCAAAATTTAGTATAATTTTCATATGTCCATCTAAATTTGTACTAACATACAGTAATACTTTACTGAATATCTCTTTTTTTGTGTGAGGTTATAGGAAAATTAGCCTCGTTTCAAAAGAATTTTGTTTTTACAAACTGTACATATGTATATACATACTATTTTGAGTTTCACATATTTGCATTTCTGTACCATATATACCTTCTAAAATTAGATCTTTGTGCATATAATCCTAGTCAGGTGCTACTTGTAACCTATAGATAAAAATAATGTGCAAGAGTATTATTTTAAATTATGGTCTGCATTAAGTTTAATTTAGACCATAATTCAAATACTGCTCTTAAGCATTATTTTGCTTTCTTTAAAAATTATAGTTTTTTTTTATTTTTTTGGTTTAATTTAGATTCCAACAAGAAACTGCACAAGTTTTAAAATTTTGGCTCATTTATTTGAGTTTATATGGTGCCGGCAGAATAATGATAATCTTTGGGAAAAAATGTTAGAATGCATGAAGAATATGAGATGTTTTGATGAAGTAGATGAAACAAATGAAGAGAATGAAGATGAAGGGGATGAAGAGGAGGATAGAAATGAAGAGGAAGATGAAGAGGAGAATGAAAGTGATGATGAAAACAAAAATGAAGAGGATGAGAAAAGAGAAAATAATAAAGACAAAAATGAATAGGAGGAAAGCAAAGAGAGGAAAGTGAATATGGTGATAGTTAAAGTAGTGAAAATATAAGGTTATAATTTTTAATTTTTAGTATTATTTCGAAAATTACTGGAAAGAATAAAATTTGATAATTATTTACTTACCACAAACATTAGTAGTTATTTGGAAATTATTATTCAATTCGCTATCTGCTAAATAATTAATATTAAAATAAACAAATTTATTTATTAAAAAAATAAAATAGAGTTATCCTGATAATGAAATGTAGTATATTTGTTGTAAGTGGGAATGGAATGATAATAGAGTTCAGAATCTACTTAGATTAGAATGGAATAATTATACTAAAAATCTCAATTCTAACCTTAAAACTTCTGAATCAACTTAAATTCTATTCCACCTATGACATAATTCAATAAATCAGTTTTTATAAAAATCATTAGAACATATTTGTAAATATATAGTTTTAATAATTAATTTGGATAAAATCTTTTCATGGCTCTCCCATTCTAGAATGATTTTGCAAAGCTAGTAAAAATTAAAAAATTTAACATGTTACAAATAGTCGATTTATTAAATCTCTTTTCAAACATTTTATTATTAGGATTACTTAACATTGTGGTGTGTTCTTAATAATTGTTGGTTATAAACAATTATGGTATTATTCTATTTAAAACTGTGATTTAATTCTTAATTATAAGATACAAATCATCTATACAAAACTTTCTATACAATTATTGCAAATGAGTAAATATCTAAATTGACCTCTGTCTAAAGTTTTGGTGCTATATACGATAAAACTCTATAAATCACACATTCTTCCCTTAATGCTATACTAATTGATGCTGAGGTTCTAAATCTGCAATATATGTGCTATGTAAACTATTTTAAAAATATTACAGCTATGTAATTTCAATAAATAAGTTCTTAAAAATGAATTATTAGCAGTATAATTTCTCTAAACCATTATTCATCTGATAACTATAAATAAATTTTTAGCAATTTAGTCTTAGCTCTTTCTAAATTTTAATTCAATTAAATCAAATAAAAACATTATAAAATTTTAAAATACTTTTGTAGTATTCTAAAACCAGCAGAGTTTTAAAATTCATGATAGTGACTTTCATTAATATCTATAGATGTTAAAAATCCTAAATCAGTTATTTCATTAAAACCAAATATGCATAACTAGTAATAGAGAGAAAGACGCATTAGATGCTGCAAATAAATAATACTTGTAAGCTTTTCTAATTACTCTGTCTGGTATTTAGTATTCATTTTATTAACTTACAATTTCATATTCATAAACAATGCCCAATATAAAATATTCTAACAGCATGCCTAGTGCTCTGCAAAATCAATTCAAAATTTGAATTTCAACAAATATTCAATTAAAATTCATATTTTGATTTGAATTTGCAGAGCACTAGCATGCCTATATCAGTATATCTTTTTGATAAAACATGAAAACTGTTTTATAATCTTCAATTCATTTTTTGTAACAATTTCTGATTTTAAAATTCAAAATATATTAATACTCTGAATTTGCCTATCATTATACTGTTTTCATGCTAATTCTATATTTGCAGCAAGTAGCAGTTCTTTATTAATACTATGGCAACCAATTTCCAATTAGAACTATATCGTACATACAAGATGTTATTCATCTTTGTATACTCATATAAATTAAAGGCAAATGATGATGTCTCATCTATAACAAAAAATTAAATAAATAAATTGAAAATTATTATTTTGTTAAACAATTATCAAATATAGTATTTGAAAGACTTGTATACAAACCTGATCATTAGCATCATCTTCTTAGACATATCAAAGTCCCAACATTTTCATTAAAAACTGCACTGCCTGTCACCAATCATGTTTGTCTTCTGAACTTGTAAAAACTATATTAGACCATTATGTGCTTTAATTGGTTCTGTTTGAGATGATGAAACAAGATCAAATTTCCAAAACCTCAGATTTTGTATCAATTATAGCCTATATAATAATTGTTAATTCTTATAGTAATGCAGTTTTAAATACAGTATTAGATATTTAATAAGTTCAGTAACTCACATTTGGCTTTTTGGTATAAACAAACTATATAATGCGTAACCGCAATCAATTGTTCAAAAATATGAAGTTGTTCTCATATTCCAAATTTTAAGATTGCTCCTTAATGCAAAGTATAATAACTCTTAGTCTGAACTTGGTGCTAATGTTCTATCACTACGATAACAAGGAAGATCAACAGAATATAGCTTGATGGCTTAGTGATTTCTAGAAAATTTTTTTCTTTATAGACGATATAAAGAATTCTGCCCAAAATTTTAAAATTTTAGTTATTTGATTTAGAAAATCCTTGTAATTTTTAACTCACGAATATAAGAATTTTTTGTTTGTTTCAAATGAGTAGTCTGCTTTAGATATGTTAAAAAAAAAGTTTGGTTTGTATATACATATGTACATACGAAAATTACTTATCTACCCAGTATCACCAACAAATTGCACTCTCTACGTGAACAATGAAAAAAACTTTTAAGTTCATTTGTGTTTGGTTAGTGCTTAGATTAGGGTTTATGTTAAGTAAAATCGCTCAAGAAAAACTTTTTTGTTAGTGCACAAAGGTAAATTTTTGAGAAAAAGTAATTTTGACAAAAAAGACATTTGGTTTGAATTTCTAATCATATTACATTACATTAAATTATGATAGATAAATCACTAAATTGGGTCACATAACTATGCCGTAATTAATCTCCTATTAAAATTTTCGCTGAAACGCCGGGGTAAGCTATACTATATTTGATCCTTTAACTCTATTTATTACATCATCATGTAGTTATGATTAAAGTTTGTTCTGAAAAGCAATTGAGCAGTATAGGCGAATTTGATTTCAAAAATCTACTTGCTTTTCTTCCAAAAGCCCTTTTGGTAGAAGCTCTTAGGCGTTCAAACTTTCTATATCAATATTTTGCTTTAATAAGTAAAATTCATCCCAAGGATAATTAATTCTCACTTAGCTCTTATTGTGCTGAGTTTATAGTGTTGACATTAGAAAAGAAGCTATTTGAAGTATAATTATATAACCATCGATCCAATCAAGATGAAACTACTTCCATTAGAATTAGCTCATTGATATGAACCTAAAGGTGGTAATATTATCCAAATCCAATTACAGAGAGCCGAGATATCATCAAAAATGTGATTTAACTAAATGATTTATATATAGATCACATGTGCCACAATCTGATTGGCTGATGATTTACTGCGCAAAATGTTCTACATGTAGTATATCTATTATATGTCATATTTGTAGCATCTATATTATTTATTTTACATATTATATATATATTATTTGTTTTATAATTAGTATCTGTATTATATATATTATATATCTTATTAGTACTATTTGTAATATTTGCAGCATAGATACTAGATATAGACCGTTACAGTTTTAAAAAATTGAAAAGTATAAAAGCAGCAGATGTGAACCTTGAGTTCAACATTGTGTCTTCATACACTTTCAACAATA